CTAGCGTTCTACTACTACTACTACTGCTACTACTATTACTACTACTACTACTACTATACTACTACTATACTACTACTACTACTACTTATACTACTAGTACTACTACTAGTACAGTCTTACTACTCGTACTACTACTATACTACTAGTAGTACTACTATACTACTTATAATACGAATACTGGCCACTACTACGAACTACTAGTACTACTACTACTACTAGTACTACTACTACTATTTCTATTTCGACTACTAGTACTAGTATAAGTACTACTAGTACTACTAGTACTACTGCTACTACGACTACTACTAATACTAGTACTACTATAATAAACATGGCGTACTTTTATAATATTCAGGAATACAACAACGTTGACACAGCATGCTTACTCGAATCCCCAGCATGAGTATGTAATATAGAATACCTATGCTCAGTGAGGCAGATACTGCAAAACTACACAAAGAACGACACCATGCTGCACGAAGGACACCTGCGCAAGCTGCAAACAAATCACGCGTTTCTGCTTCATCAAGCCCAGGTTACGACGCTGTGCGATCATGAATGCTGTAAGGGTTACCGCGGAAATTTAGGATTCCCCTTCCCGATGCTTTCTGCATGAAAAGCAACATACTGTTCATCTAGTTTAGGATTAAGGTTTAGGGAAGAGGGCTTATGGATGTAGTATATATATATATATCTACTTACATACATATATTACATATACATGTCATCACCCTGGGATCCCTGAGTCATTTATATGGTTTGGGCAGCGAAAAAAAAGGAAGTCTACATGTCCAATATATATATATACATATATATGAAACATAACGTATGGCACTGCCCTGACAGGTCAGTCTCTATATCTATAAGTAACCGGCTTGGAGGGAAATATCCTATATGTATGGTGATGAGTACAGGCAAGCTGCGTACTGTTTGCTTCATGTGAATGCTGTCATGCTTAATAGTGGCATTGACAGCATGTATATGGTGATGAGTACAGGCAAGCTGCGCAGGGTTTGCCTCATGTGAATGCTGTCATGCTTAATAGTGGCATGCGGCAATGCGGTCATGCTTAATCGTGGCATGCAGCAACCTGCTTGAAAGCCAAATTAAGCACAAGTGACCTAAGCTATAGATACACTGATATACTTTAAAACAATGAGGCGCGTAATCCTCAGCCCTTTACGTACTTCATGCCGAGCCCTATAATATATATATATGTATATACATATCCTGCAACGGAAAAAGTTCGGGCCTTCGTCTCCCCAGATGAACCCAGGCTCTCGTCACGGGCTTTCTTCGCCACTGCAGCAGAGTCCACCAAGGCAGCGAGATGCGGCGGGATCCGTGCTGCTTTCCCCATGGTTACGACAAGCAACACGTGCTTCAACACAGCTAAAAGCCGAAGTCTGCAACCACGAAATTTCACATTTTTTCACGCTTTTTCACGGTATTTCACGCTCAGAATTCTAGAGACCTTGAATTTTGAGTGAAGGCCTTGAATTCCTGGGACTTGGGGGCTGCAGATTTCACACATTTTCACGCTTTTTCACGCTCCTCTGGGCTTTCAGTCCGCAGCCAGCACACCGTACTGTCTCAGAAACTTAGTTGGTTCCTATAGTGCGCCTAGTATATGCTGGCTGCCGTCGCAAAGCCTGGCCATCAAATTAGGTTTGCACTGCCAAATAGTGGCTTTAATTATGGCAGATCCAGAGGCGGCAGCTCGATGCCCTCCGGAGGGATATAATTCCCGTTGGACATCTCCAGGACCAGGAAAGCATGAACTTGTTCGAGATCAGCGCGATCCCACTCCTCGGATTTCATATATATATATATACATATACATATTTTTGGGACATGCATATCCCCTGAACTATGCCTGTCTCACATATACTTACTTCTAATTACAAGCGGCCACGTCGAACGCCTTCCTCATCTGGCCACACCTTTCCAAAGACGGGGTCTCGGGACGATGGCCAGCCGCACGAGCAGCCTGTCAATATATATATACACATTTATTTATATGTGTAGAGATTTATAGTATATGATAAATGTACATAGAATCGTATCTACATAAAAAATATATAAACTATAGGTATATGACAAGCGACGCATATACATATATATATATACATATGTACATATATATATACATCTACATATATGTATATATGTTATGTTTATATTGTATATATAATACATATATAATACACATATACATATTTAATTATGTGTATATATATATATATTATATATGACATATATAATATCATATATATATATGCTTCTGCATATATACTTGCGCACATACAGTTGTGTATATACTTATAAGTAAGCTATTATGTGCATGTACATCGCCATATATATTTCATAACAAGAACCTGTGTAGTTATTTCTTACATATGGCCCCTTGCCTTTACATGCTGCCTGTGTAGTTCAGCTGCCCGCCGACAGAACTTTCTCGGGTAGGTCTGGGTAGCCTTTAAGAATTTCGTTCCCGAGACCTTGCCATTGGCGTCCTTCTTGACGATGGCCCTTGCGGCCTGCAGTTTATAAACAGATCAAGCAATATATACACGCAGGAACATTCCTGAGGCGGTGAAGCTGTCTCCCTGCCTCACGAAATCTCTCTTGGAAAGTTTTCGAACCCATGGCCTGGCGCACGCATTACACCAAGCATGTACACATGTGTGAATACAAATGATTATTTATCTGTTTAAATCAAGACACGCGTTGCCGAGCAAGTACGTAGGTTTGGCATTCGCGTGGCCAAACAAGCCCAGCCACCTGAGCTAAGATTAATGCAGAAAAGCTTGACATGGGCCAAATACATGCGGAGGTTTCGAATATGTACTTTTTTTTTAATATAGTCAAGCAGCAAACGGGCTTCACCCCAGCTGGTATGGCAAAGCAAAGCCAGCATTTTGATTGGAGGCAAATGCCGCAATGTTGACGAGAGGGGTTGTTCCATGATCACGAACGCTCGGCGCACAATGGCTAGTAGTCCAACAAATACAAACCGCAGGACAACGCAGTTTATGAGGTCGGTGGACGTACCCCATGGGGAAGCAGCCGAGCGCTTAAATGTACCTCTGGAAAGCCAAATAAATGTGCTGCAGGGAACACCTGCCCAAAGGCAGCTGTTCTCCTTTAAAGTCAGAACTGCTTGTACTGCGCGCGCCAGGCCAGAAATCCGGCTAAGATCGTGCTCCGGGTTCACGCTGATGTCTTGCACGCGGGCCTAGCATAAACTGTGCATAACTGCCAAGCTCACTTGGAAACGCAAAATGGCTTAGATATTTCAGCGCAAGATCCCCACGAGTCCTTGCCAACAACATCATTGAAAGCCCGTGCCATGTTGGCACTACCACTGAACAGCTCGAAGCACTCTGCATCCCTAATTATATTAACTTGCGCAGCATTTCAAGCAAGACACGCGTGCCAACGAATGCAACGATTTCCTGCAGAGTGGCCCGAGTGAACTCCAGATTTGACTTGTCCTTCATCTGGGCCACATAGTGCGTAAAGTGCAGCCTGAGCATGCAGTCAAGATAAACAAATGATATATATATATATATATGAAATTGGATTATCTCGAACATAAATTTCATGTCCAAAACTGGCAAGACACAAGACCACTGGAACGCCCATGGCTAACAAGCTGGCCATGGCATTGCCACTCAGAAACAGGGACCGAGCAGGCATGGTGACAAACAGCTAGGTCTGAGCAGTTGCAGCTCTCACGTGCTCGTACAGTAAAATCTTGGCGTTGCATGACATCAGCGTCTCATCTGCGCCAGAATCTCCTTTCCTTTTTCCCCCAAGACTTTCTGAGTCAATCGTGCGAAGCAGTTGTTACAACAACTACAAGGAACACAGCGCACGCACTAAGCAAGAGCCACAGCATGTGCTAGGCTGCTAGCATTGCAATCAGAATCTCAAACTCGTACTTCATCCCTGCAAATTTAAAGGCCGTTGGCAAACAAACTGCGAACTGAAGTCTACTGCTGTGTATAACCTATGCCTGACCTGGTGGGATGACAAGTTCACGGCAGCAAGCCTAGATGAAAACGCCTGCCCATGACACATCAAAATTCAAAGGCAACCTTTCAGGCTGCCTGGACCTGGTCAGGTCCCAGCTGATTCCTCCATCCTGCCAGGAAAGTGGCCACGCGGAACCTGGAGTGGGGCTTGGGATATATCCATATATATATGTATATACCTGCGCTACAATTAAAGTGGCCAGTATTTATTTGGGATATATCCATATATATATATATGTATATACCTGCGCTACAAAAGTGGCCAGTATTTATTTGCATTTAATTTTGTGGTTGATGCATATAATATATATATATATAAGTCAATATATGTATATATATATATCTTGATGAGAAGCTTCTCTTCGACATTGTGGCAGCGAAAGGCCACATTGCAGCCATTCTGCTTGTTGACCTGCAAGGCATGGGTTTGAGGGGGAGGGGGGGGTCAGCTTATGACACGAGCACTGCAGGTGTAGAATTTACAGCTTGCCTTGAGCTTGTGGTCTTTCATGATCGCTGCAGCCGCGGGATTCTTGTCATCATCAACGTTACGGCAACTGTTCACGTAAAAGGTGGCCGTTGTGAGGATCATGCCAATGGACGATCCTCCCTTCACAGGGGACTTCACTGTAAAGGACCTAGCAGCAAGAAAACCAGCTGGAACGTTAAAAAACATGATATCTGCATCAGCACATGATCATATGTGTGTGCTGCTTTCTCATCATCCACTGCAAGCGAGATACTTGGCACGGCTAGCCACAAACTCTTCCAAGTTCGGCAAGACCAAGCCGAGGGGGATGGCAGGTTGCAGGCCCTTGAAGATGTCGGCCACTTCCGCCTGAACGCGACTATATATATATTATGTTTTAAAATGAAACACAGGCATGCGTGTAGACATTTCAGTATACAACTTATTATCTTTTATATAGTTCTAGATGCTGCGTGCAAAATAGGCCAGACCTGGTCCAGCGGTGGCTTCTTGGCCGACTTGCTTGGCCTCTCCTCGGTGTCCCCAGGCTTCTCGCACACACGCTTCGCCTTAGCCTTGGACGCAGCCTCTTTTGGCTGACTGTCCTGCTGTGGCTCTGCACGCTTCTTGCACACGCGCTTCGCAGTAGCCTCAGACACAGCCTCTTCTGGCTGACCGTCCTGCCGTGGCTCTGCAGCCTCTGGCGCGTTCTGCTGTGGCCCTGCAGCCTCTGGCGCGTTCGGGACTGGCTGCGCGCTCTTGGCTGGCGCACGGCCACGCCCTCGTCCTTGTCCACGAGTGGCCTTGGCCTCAGCTCTGAGATTCTTCCTGCCATCTCGTTGTTGCGCGAGCACATGGGTGAGATCGTCGGCATTTGTCGCCAACAACAAAGCATCTGCCTCAATCGGCATACTGGGCGGCCTTGCGATCAATGGGGCTGAATCCTTGCCTGGCGCATGCGCGCGCTTCCGGCACGAAGTCGTAGCGGCCTGGATATTATATATATATATATATAGATCTGGATGTGAAGTATTTATATGTATGTATTATATATATGTATATGTATATATATATATTGTATTGTTTATATCTAATATTTATTAATATATATATATTAGATAATTTGTATATATATATATCTCATATATATATATGAGATATCTAAGACATTTATTGAACCTCATTTATATCTGCCTTCATACCTTCCGTCTCGTCCTGGCCAGCCACCGCTTCCTCTGTGTCTTTGTCCTAGGCAAACACATATATGTATGATCGTGACTGGAAATAATCGTATAGGAAACGCAGTACATATATATATATATACTCAACATATATATAGACAAGCATCAGGCAGCGACCCAGCCTCTGGCTTGCTGGACGAAGACTCCTTGCGCACATGACTCGTGAAAATACAAAAGCCCATATATATATACATTAATAACATTTATTTGACGCCTCATGATTCGTCGCATGGGTGGTCGCGTCTGCGCCATCTTCATGATCATTGCTGCAGTCATTCTCATAGAACGCCAATGCAGCCTGATTGAGCGGTGTTCAATTTTCTAGAAATTAAGCGCATATATAAATATATATAATTTATGAATTCATGAAACGTTAAAATGATCATGCAGGGCCTCAGCTTCTGGGTCAGACCCGGCATCGTTGCCCACATTAATGGGATCTTCATCGCGATCTCCTTCATCGCGATCTCCATGCTCAGGCTCGTTTCGCCCGTCATCATGGTCACCTGGTCCATCCTCGAGCGCCAAGGGTCCCTCCAGCTCCTGATCATGGAGCATATAAATAATATATAGCTCTTAAGCAACGCTCTATATGCATCTTAGCTTCGAGGCCCAAATTGGCTCGAACAATGTTCTTCAAAATCTGAAGTTCCGGTGTCCTTCCATGCGGAGCACACGTGTCAGGATCATCCATGTATACATATATATATATTATTAATCAAGAATTTGAGGTGTACATATTTCTAGCAACCAAGTTGAAAATCAAGCATGTGCTGCAGCAACTGAACACAACACGTCCTTGCCACAGCGCATCGCCTTGAATGGCGGATAACGGCTGCAGACAGCGCGCGCAAACGCCCTGCTTCAGCAGCAGCCCAAACCTGGCGATATGTATAAATATATATATATATTTATTAAATATATATGTACATATATATAACCGCACGAAGGTGAATTATCTATATTAATTATGCATGATGATGTATATATATATATATAGTGCGCGCGAAAATAACCTATAATAAATATAATATATATATATATGAATATCAATATTAAATATATAGTTGCCTTGGCATCTCTGCGCAGCTTTGACAGCACAATGCCATGGCGATCGTTCAACTTCAAGAACCCCACCTTTGGAGCAGTCATGATAAAGGAAAGACCATATATAGAAAATTAAAAGAATACGCCTGAAAGACTGAACAGGCCGGCAAGGTCTCAAACTCAGTGTGCACGTGGATCAGAGTCTTCACGTTCAAGACAATCTAGCAGGGCAATGCACACAAGAATCATGATATATCAGAATTCAATACCCACCCAGAAATTAAATGCGCATCTCTGGTATCGATCATGATCCTGAAATAACTAATCCTGTGCATGTAGCCTCTTTCTCGTAGATCATCCCCAGACCAGGATTTGAGCAATCCAAGAGCACCAATCGCTTCTTGCAGGGGTCAGTCATCTCCCTGAAAGCCTTCCAATCCTGTTCGGCAAAGGCTTCCTCCAGCACACGATGCAGTCTCTCCGCAACTGTATAGTTGGACATGGCACCTGTGTGGCTGGCACGTGCCACCTAAGCTACGCAGCCACTAGAATTTGAAGGACAGAGCAGCTGCGTGTGAATTAAACACAATCAGCAAGCATCAGCATGCTCTATATATATATATTTCTGTAATATATATGTATATATACACACTGTAAGTTTTCATCCTATACTGTTTCCTGATGATGATTTCTGCCTGTGCTTTACACACATGCAGTGAAGCATATTCAGCACAATTATTTATCTATTTAGTTTTTGTCCTCATATATATATATATATTGCAGTGGGAGGGTGGCACCTTGACTCTGCCGCTGCTTCGCATCCTCTGCGCGACCAGCAGCCAACGCTCGCTTCATGGCCCACCTGCAAGCAAGCGAAATTCAGCATGTGAAGAGTGCAGAGTTACCTGATGCATTGTACATATACATATATATATATATGGGAAGTCGTTGGGAGAGGACTGCTTCAATATATATATATATATTAATCTTAGAATTTATGTATGTTATATATTCTAGACCACGTTGGGGATCATTGCCGCGCGTCAACAGAAGCGAATCTTTTTCCTCGTGATCAGCAGCGACTTGCGAGCTCTGCGCTGCAAACTATTTCAAATGAAGAATTCCTGAGCTTGGTAGCATATTTTAATTATATATATATATATTATGTTTATTATATATATATGTATGATGAAGCCTGATGGCCATATCATGGAATTCAACTTGCCTCGGAGCAGCCGCATAATCCCCTTGGAAATGGCGGAAGATTTAGGTGTATAATATATTCTTACTGTTATAATTATAAGTTATTGGTCATACTCATGATAGTAAGTTATTAGTGTAGGAATTTATCAGTTTTCTGTTGAGGCTTTGCGGTCTGCATGATCAGGCTCTGTACGAATCTTCTTGGGCGGAGGCACTACGACACCCTTTAAACGGCCAGGATTAATCACGATGGGACGTCCTGCTAGGTGCGCTGGAGGTGGCCCCTTTGGCTGCACTGGCATCTTCTTGGGCTTCTTCTGGGGGGTCTCTTCGTCAGCATCATCATACTGCCTCTTCTCACTCTGGGGCAGGCTCCATTTTTCCTCTGGCGCCAATGGCTTGCCCTTCTTGATCCCACCCAAAGCTGCATCCTTGCCTGCGTCTGGGTTCTGCTCCGGCGCCTTGTCCATGGGTGGCACCTTTGCTGGCGTGGCAGCCTGCCCTGCCGCGGCTGCCTTCTCTTTCGCTGGCTCCTTGAGCGAAGATGCCTGCGTGCAGCCTCTTCTGGAACCACTGGCTTGTGTTTTGCCGGCTGCTCCTCCGAAGAACTGCCCAATAGCTCTGCTTCCTGGCCAGGTTGTCCTGCAACCACTGCCGTTGCTTTTGCTGGCTGCTTCTCTAAAGCCTTGGCAGGTGCCTGTGCTCGCGTGGCAGGCTGTTGGGGACCCCCTGCTTTCTCTTTTGCTTCCTGGCCAGGCTGTCCTGCAACCACTGCCGTTGCTTTTGCTGGCTGCTTCTCTAAAGCCTTGCCAGGTGCCTGTGCTCGCGTGGCAGGCTGTTGGGGACCCCCTGCTTTCTCTTTTGCAGGCGCCTCCTTGTCCAGAGACTTACCTGGCGCCTCTGGCTGCGGGCCAGGCTGTCCTGCAACCATTGTCGCTGCTTTTGCTGGCTGCTTCGAATTCTCCATAGCCTTGCCCGACGCCTCTGCTTGCGTGCCAGGCTGTTGCGCAGCCGCTGCTTTCTCTTTTGCAGCCTGCTTGTCCACAGGAGCCTCTGGCTGCGGGCCATGCTGTCCTGCAAGCACTTTCGTTGCTTTTGCGGGCTGCTTCTCCAAAGCTGCTCGTGCAACCTGCTTCTGCTTGGACTCCACTGGCTTGTGCCCCCCACTTAGTTTCCCAGTCTCCTGAGAAATCTTGGGCGCTGATCTCTCCGCGTGGTCCTTGGAGTCGCGGACCTTGTCCTTGGAGTGCTCGGTCTTGGCAGGGTGCTTGGAGTTGCGGTCCTTCTGCTCAGTCTTGCCCTTGAAGTCGCGGTCCTTCTTCTCAGTCTTGACATGACCCTTGGAGTCGCGGTCCTTCTTCTGCTCGGTGTTCGCAGTGCCCTTGGAGTCGTCGTCCTTCTGCTGGGTCTTGGCAGGGCCCTCAGTCTTTTTCTTGGTCTCCTTCGATTTGGTTGGCGATTCTTGCACCTCCTTGGCTGCTTCGGCTGCAGCCTGCGGTATCGCAGGGTTGCACACGTCTGAACCCTTGGCTGCCTCGTTTGAGCTGGTTGCATCTGCGGCCCTTGGGCCTGCACTCTTGGCAACCGCAGTGGCAGCGATCAGCTGTGTGTTCGGAAACACAGCCGCAGGAAGCATGAGGTCCTTGGCGTCGTACTGGGTGGAAGCATGCGCCATCTGCACGCTATATGGCGCGCAAAATAGCTCCTGTTCATTATCTCCCACTGCAGCCTCACGTCCATCAACATCTTGCGCTGTGCCACTGAACTCCTCCATGCAAGGCTATATATATATAAGTATTCATAGCTATATAGCTGATATCAGTATTTATATGCCAGCTCTTTTTTGGTGTGTATATATATATAGTATATTTATTATGCTGCCATATTTTTGTATGTATATATATATGTGTCTATCTATTTATAGAACCTCTTGTATTCTATATATATATCTCCTCCAAGGGTACGAACGCGCGCACCCAGCGGCCAGTTGTCCAAGACGGCATGGCCAGGAGCGTAGCTATAGCAAAATATAGGGCGGCTGATGTTTGTAAGCTGGAAGCTAAGTTCTTCTGTGTATATATACATATCTTGAAGCTTCTATATATGTGAAATAATCATCCTTGAGCCCTTGCCTGTCAATTTCCAGAATGAAAGCTCATGATCTTGCAGCCCCAGGATCGAAATCAAATCAACCAATGCAAAGGTCTTCCATTCAAGTCCACCCTCGATCCCTTGGCCCGCCTTCTTCTGCATCTCGCCCAGCGCAAGCCATCAGCTCATGCGGCCAACGGTATATATATATATTATATTTGTATGTATACGTAGGCCATGTGTTAACGTTTGAACAGATGCCTATAATATATATATATATTATATATATATACATATATATATATGTACAGATATATCTAAATATGTGCAATTTCATCTGGATCGATGTGGAAACGATAACATTATC